CAAGCTGTAGAATAAATTCCTTTTATTCTCATAGATTCATATATAGAAACTTGGTTAAATACTTTTATGTTCTATCCCAGGAATTTTGTCAAACAACCCACTATGTAATAAGTTGTTTACAAAAGTAAAAATGTTAGTGTGGCATAGAATCTTGTTGTATAAATAATAGTGGGAACATACACTGAATTCAAATTTTTTCCTATTCTCTTCACGGTATTAGACCAATAGGATAAACGTTCCTAGGCTTTCTCCTTCAATTTTCTCTCAAGAACCAGTTCATAAGAAAGAAATTCTTGATTTTTTCCACCTTCCAGTAGCCATCACCTCCCAGCAAGCTACCGGCGAAAAGAACCACCTTTGTCTACCTTCAGTTAATGAGTATTGCTTGCTATCTTCACCGTACATCAACATCAAGAGAAGAGAAAAATGATATTATCAAATCTATAGACTGTCATCAATATTTGAAACCATTGACCAACGAAACACTTCTAGCCAAATCTCAAGGGTTGAGTACCAAACCTTCATTTTTTATTCACATTGAATTGAAGAAATTAACTTTTTGTTACCAAATTATTAAAATTTTCTCATACAAAAAGAATAATAGGCCATCTTATTGGCCCTATCGGAAGCAAAGATAATCTTGATTTTGTTGTGGGATGTAGAGGTTTCCTCAATCGAAAAATGAATGATCTTAGAAGTTAGTGGAACATATATGTTCCTAATACAACATTACAACCATGATATCCTTGACATCATGAAGCAAATACTCAAAAGTTAATGGTGTCACCTTAGCCCATGCAATGAAGATAAAAGTCAGATCACTAAGAAGGTATTATTTCAATTACTGTTTATTATAACAAATTATAAAATTTGCAGCTCGTACTTGATTATGACTAGTTTTCTAAAATTAGGTGCAATCAAAATATTGCTTTTCCATTCACTTTTGTCAAAAGAGAAAGAAAATTTGAATTTCTAGTTTAATTGAATGTTGTTATGACCAAATATGCATCCAAGTATTTGGAAATGGCCCCTGCTAAACCTAAATGAAATTTTTTCTATTATTCATAATGAAAAGGGAGGTAAGGTGCATGCCAGTACACATGTTGGGGAGAATACTACGTAAATTGCTTCCTATGTACTAATGCAAGCAGGATCGAGCCATCTAAAGCCCATATCAAGTCTACCGTGGTTAAAAAATCGAGAAGGCATGTATTGTTGTTATGGTAAAAAGGCAAGACATTCAGAAGATAAATGTGCAAAATTTTAAGGAAAGCCTGTATACAACAAAAGCAAGCCAACATACCATAACCAATTAATGCACCATCAATTCAATGCGGCTTTTATGAAAGGAAAAAAAGGCATTTACATACATACGACCCAATTCGTAGTTATTTACATAACTAACGCCTTTTTTTTTTTACATTTATACCACTCAGACCTTTCATCACATAAAAACTATTTCTATTTTAATTTTTAAAAGGTGCAATATACATTTTCATGTATAGATAAGGTGGTATGTATATGCAAAATATCACTAATTGTTTGAACTCATCTTAGAGGAGACTGGGGAAGTTGAGCTATCAAAGATGATACAGCCACGAGTAACCAACTTCCATGATGTGATGATTCGCAGCTTATCTGAGAGACTACCACCACTTGGAGACATTCAGAATGCTATAGACTTTATCTCCAGATCAGTGTTAACTAACAGAGCTGCTTACAAATTAAGACCGAGTACGAGGTGTTGCAATGGCAGGTGTAGGATCTTATTGTTAAAGGGTTTGTGAGAGAGAGCATCAGTCTGTGCTCTTCTTGCTTTGATGATTCTTAAACTGGATGGTTCTTGGAGGACATGTATTGATGGTAGAGCTATCAATAAGATCATCATCAAGTACAAACTTTCTAAACCTCATCTGGATGATTTACTGGATCAGTTGCATGGAGCGGTTATCTTTTTCAAGATTGACCTGCGTAGTGGATATCACCAGATCATAATGAGGCCAGGTGATAAATGGAAGCTGCCTTTAAGACCAGAGATGAGTTGTATGAGTAAATAGTCATATTGTTTGGGCTGTCCAATGCACATTTTACTTACATTGGAAATCTTGTAGTGAATTTTGATGACATTCTAGTCTACAACAGATATGAAAAGCGCTTGCAGCATATGAGGATGGTTTTTTGGGGCTCTTCGATTGGAGAAGCTATATGCACTCCCGAGGAAGTTTCTCTTTATCACAGAACATGTATGTTTTCTGGATTATATTGTATCCGTTGCAGACATTTAGATGAACCATATGAAAATAAGGGCTATTGTGATTTGGACATTCCCACAGTCCTTTATAGAGCTAAGGTGGTTTTTGGAGCTAGCATTCTTTTGTAGAAGATTCGTCAAGAGCTTCAACACCATTAAAACTCCTCTGACATAGCTCTTAAAATGAGAGAAGTTTCAGTGGACAGAGACAATTGAGTCAAGCTTTGATGTCCCAAAGAACGTGACTCGATCCCAAGTGTTAGCTCAATCATATTTCAGTCAGTTGTTCGAGATGGAATGTGGCATTTCTAATATGGGGATTGGAGCAGTATTGAGCTAGGGAGCGCACCTCATAGCATTCTTCAGTGAGAAGTTGAGTAACTCCAGGAGGAAGCATGTGACATATGATAAAGAATTTTATGCTTTTATGAGAGCTCTTAATGATTGGAGTCATTGTATGTTGACTAGCAAGTTTATTCATAGATCATGAGGCTCTAAGGTTCCTGAACAGTTAGAGCAAGTTAAAGGGCATACATGCTTCTTGGGTTGAGTTCTTGACATCATTCTAGTTTGTGCTCAAGCACAAAGTAGGGAGTCAGATTCGAGTAGCAAATGCCTTGAGTCGTCGTCATTTACTGATCACCTCTATGCAGGCTAGAGTTGTGGGATTCAAGGTGGTGAAGGAGCTATACAAAGCAGACGAGGACTGCAAGTAGATTTGGGATCAGTGACAGGAGAAGCCTACAATATAGTACCATAGATCTGATGGCTATCTGTTCGATGATAGCATGTTGTGTGTCTCAAGACGTTTATTGAGAGAGTCCATCATATAAGAGAGTCGCAGCGGAGGATTAACAGATGATTTGGTAGAGACAAGATACTAGCACTTGTGAGAGTATTTTTTCTGGCCTAGATTGACAAGAGATGTGGCGGGGTATGTCAGGCAGTGTAGAGTTTGTCATCTAGTAAAAATTAGAGTACATAATACGAGGTTATACACAACATTATCAGTACCAGAGGCTTCATTGGTGGATATTAGTATAGATTTCATTGTCGATCTTCCTAGGTTATAGCGGAATAAAGATTAGGTGATAGTAATCTTTGACGGGTTCTCTAAGATGACTCATTTCGTATATTGCCACAGAAAACTAGATGCATCACATGTAGCTGACTTGTATTTCAGGGAGATACTGAGACTGCATGGGATATTAAGGGCCATTATTTTGAAAAATTGAAATACACCAGTGGTTGTATCATTTCTTGTATCTCAGCCTCCTCTTCAATCCCCCTAAGTTTGTTCAAATAATTCCTAAGTGCATGGTTTGGGAGGTTCACCAAAGCCATGGAAAGTTTGAAATTCAAATAAAGTCATGGAGATCAATCATTTCTCATAAAGAGATCGAAGTAAGAAAAAATCACAGTTCTAATAATATGCATGTAAGGCTTGATTTTGATAGTTGATTATTCTGAAGAAAAGAGGAAAGTAAAAGACCTGCTATTCATAATATAAGTGAAAGATGTGGGAGGACTAAAATACCTCTTTGAAATAAGTGTGTCACTCAAAGATTGCTATGTTTATCTCCTAACATAAATACATCTTGGATATACTAAATGAAACATATATGATGGGATGCAGGCTCTTAGGGATTTCAATTGATTGCCTTCATAAGATTTGAGAATTTGCCAACAATCGAATTCACCTACAACCAAAAAGTTGACAAATGATGTTAAGATTTTATGGATCTAGGATTTCTATCATTGAAATTAAATTCAATCAACCAACATGACAAATATATAAATTTCACAAGACATAAGCGGTTATTCTTATATAACTATTTACTAGTTACTACGCATGTTGACAAACAAAAACAAAAAATGATTAGATCCTATTTTGGCAAGATTTATGGGCTTACATCAGAAATCAATGACAAAAAAGTTGGGGACCAAGAAAGTTAGTCTTGTATTAGAAATCAATGACAAGAGAGTTAGGGGTCATGAAAGCCACAACATTATTGTAATTTCTTGCATAGTAAATAAGATAAAAATATCAATCACACTCTCTACTAATAATAAAAGTCAAGCCATACTTTGGTATGATTACATTGCCTCACCCAAAATTCTTAATCTCATTCTTGATCAACAAATAAACCTGAAAGGAGAAATATTTTCGCATCCAGAAAAAACTTTTATTCAATATTTTGATTATTTTTTCTACATACCTCAACAACCAAATAGATTAAACTAAAATCTCCTAAGAATCGTGCACCTACGGACGAACCGCTAGAGCTACAACCTCGAGCACCTCTAGTCTCAAGTATTTTCTACTATAGAAGTTCGGAATTTGTTATGGTCCCTTATAAGTTAGTAACTGAATCATAAATGCATCACTTGCGATTATTAGAGCTATGAATATATTCCTTTGCTTTGGTTCCTATTACTTTGTTTAGATAGCTCATTCAATAGTAAAATTCTTGACCATTTACTAGAGTAATCATGCAAAAAAAAACTTTAGATGTTTGATTCGGTCTATCTGTTATCGAAATCCAGGAAAATTATTCATGCATACCATGCACTCAAGCTAATAGCTACAACATACATTTTTTAGCATACAGAAACAATTTTATAATAACTTTATTACATGTTTTAACTCATCATCTTGCATATCGGACTGCACAGAGAACTGCTAAGCCTGATAATTATCATTTTCAGGTTATTAACTAAGAATCATTAACATTGTTTTTGGTAACAGACTGCTTTTAGAGCAAAAGCAATGGAATGCCATCCAGATCAGAACCAAGAGAACAAAGGTAGAATGCCACTCATATAGTCTTTTATATCCTGTTCTCTCTTCAACTGTCTGGGCTTTTCCAAAGCTATCTATTTTATTTTTACATTGATGAGAAAATTCCATTCTTTTGCAGAGGCTGCTGAGGAAAAATTTAAAGAAGTTCTCAAGTCTTACGAAGCAATAAAGTCAGAGAGAAGGAATGAAAGGTATTGACAAAAAAATTTAGAAATTTGCAATCCTCAAATCTAAAAATTTGCAGAATAGAAAACATAGGTGCTTGGTGTTATACTTGAAGGTCTCTAGTTCTTATGTGTTCGCTGATAAGAGTTGACATTCACTGATTTTTTTTCTTGTATTAACCAGCGTGATGTATGAGTAATTAATATGATATATGATTGATTATTAGTTTTCTTCTCTGATGAAGCCCATTGTTGTATATATGCTGACCCATCCTTCAAAAGCGCTCCCTTTGTGGAAGGGTATGATATGTAGCAGACCTTTATGTGCATTAAACAAATAATAATAATAATTTAATAAAATATGATGAAAACATTCATATATTTTTGGTCATATTGTTATTTTTTGCAGTAATCTTTTGCACATCAATGAGTGGCAGTAACAATGATTCATATTGACAATGTCATGTGCAATGATGTGCTGTAGCCCGTGCTAATTATATTTTGTTATAGCAAGATTTACATACTTACCACTTAATTCCTATACATTTATGCCACCTTGGCCATGCATAAAAGAATGTATTTTACTTTATAAAAAGTTATAATAGTGGTATTTTTTTATTTGATATGAAATATTTGCATGGTATAAATGTAGAAAGTAAAGTGTGGGAGTTAGATATGTATGACATAAGGATTGGGTGGTATCTATGTAAATGCTCCCTTTTTTAATTACTCTGGTAAATGAATTGCAATTTGATAAAATTATAAGGAATATATAAACAACCATTTAAGTATTTTCAAGCTCTCGTGGTATTTCATTGTCGGGAAGGATGAATCCTTCAGATGTTTTCTTAAATACGAATGCTGGTGCTGTTAATAATAATAATAATAATAATAATTGTAAATTATAAAGTTTTTCTTGTTTATTGGGTTCATACATTTTTTATTTTTAGGGTGGAATGTTTTGCTGAATGAAAATTTGTAGTGAAACCGTGGGTGAATGATTTGACAACACATGATGTTTCCCTTAAAAAGCATAGTGATAAACACAAATTTTGATGCACATTTTGATAAGAATTTTAAAAAATAAGTTTGGACATGCTAGTATTTTAATTTATAATCTAGTGAAGTGTCTTGGTGAGATGAATCAAATAATATAGAAAATTAGTTTATTCGAGTTAAAGTGGGCCTAGATTACACCTTTGAAATAAAGAAAATTTTGTAAAATATTTTGAGAGATAAAATGATTCCCATGTAATAAGTTTATAGTTAAATTAATTGTATCGACAAGAAGAGTCTAACGAGCCTAAGAATGTTTAATTTTGACATCATTAAGTTATTCAAATACTCATAAAATTATATATGAATCACCATTTTCACTGGACCACTATTATTGAGTCATTGCAACTGCCAAACTATCTTTGCCCGACCATAGCTAGACCAACAATGTTTGACCACCACCCTCACCAGGCCGCTAACTCCACCAGATCACCTCTTCTTGGCAACTATCACTGTACGTCGACCTTGTTGGTCGTCAACATGGAGAAGTTGTTGGTTTAAAATATATTTAATTTTATATATATATAAAATTTTGAAAAGTGGAATTTTTTAATTTTGAAAATACAATTCCTAACTAATCTCATACAGATAATAGTTTAAATAAATAAGCACAACACTACAAGCCATGTATCTATCCTGAGAAATAGACATGTTACTTGATAGTGAGTCTCGATTAAATAAACTAAAAAATTTATGACATCTGTTTTAGTCTGTGAAACCTTTAATGTTGACCAACAAGTTCTCCTATTTAATATAAAAGATTAGACAGAGTTTATATTACCTGGGTTCTTAAAGCTCCCTATAAGGGCATACCTCTATAGTTAATTATTAACTAAATGATCAAAGTCATTCAAGAAAACTCTCGATTTAGATCAGAGGTATTTATCTTCATGAATCTCAAAGTTCAAGATTTCAAAGTCGGATGTAAGAAATTTTAAACGGGAATGGCTCAAAATAGGAACAGTTGTTTTCAGAATCCAAAGGGAGAAAATTAGGAGATTTCATGGATCCTAAGGAGAACATCGATACTTTCCAAGTTATCATATTGTTTAGCTTCAATTTTGAAGAAATATTATTAGATGTTTTATCATGACAATTTTAATATTTATGGTTTACACTTACATTGCACGGTCATACAAATAGCTTGGAAGATAGGAGTGATTATGTCGTGACGAACGACAACCTCAGAGCCTAAAGCTAGTTAAGGCTTAAACTGCACAACATGGCTGTGCAAAGACCTAAAGATAATTTGAGGATTTATGTCCTATTAGACGAGCTAACCCGAAATCCTATGACTTGTTATTTAATTCTAAGGAATGGTTTGTTGATGATCTCGTTTGCTCTCTCGAAGATGTTCTTTTATATATACTCGTCATGTTGTCCACAGAGTGCTCCAAACTCCTCGTCGAAGTGACGGCTCCAGGTGCAGGGTTTTATGATTTTGTAGTATGCATGTCAAGTTTGTTGTTGTTGTTGTTGTTATTTAAGTGTATTTGGGGGGATTTTAATTTATGCTAAGTGACACCGGTTAAGATCTCAATGTTCCATCATCCCAATAACACTATTTTCTCGTGAATTTACTTGATTTAAACAAATAATCAAGCTCATTTAATTTGGAGAACTCTCGTTAGCAACCGTAGTTTACCTCATCTGAGAATTCTTGTAAACCCAAAAGATGTGTATTATGTTCGTTCATTGTTTTAAAAGTATAGATTTAATTTTGAAAGTGAATTTTTTTTTTTCAATTTTTTTTTTGCAAGTATGTATGCATAAGGAAAATGTAATAAAGTAAATAGTATAATTGCAGTACAAAAAATGTAAATGCGCATCTGGGCCTCAGCTACCGTTTTGCCCAAGAGGTGAGACCTTGATTGGGTGGTTTCAAAAGCTTCCTTGGAGTCCCACGAACGTGCTCGAAGCACACCTTCCTCCGGGATGGGGTCAATGTATTAGCTCGATCAGAAGGTGGTGTGGCCTTGGTCTAGGTCTGGTGCAGAGGGCTCAAAGGATTGGGCTTTTGCTTGGATACTTCTCCTTATGCTCTGGGGAAGCTCAGAAGCAAATCAATTTGAATATTGGTGGAGGTTTTTGGTATGACAAAAAAATGCTCTGGATTTCAAAGGTGAAATTGGGCTTGGAGAATGGGGATGGGTGGCTGAAGACAGTGAGATTGAAACTCACGCGAGTTAGGAGGAGCTTTGAAAATAATTCAACAGAGTTTCCCCAAGTAATTGGATCATCTTCAAGTTTGGTTATGGAGGAGAAGATTTTATAGATCAGGCCAAAGAGAAGGCCTCAAGCCCTCATTGGCTGGTGCAAGTAAGCTAAGGTGGAGGGGAATTCGTCGCACCTAGCCAATGGGAGAGAGCCACAATGGATGGGCCAAATTTTTTATTTTAAATCATGGTTGTCCTCTCGGTTATGGGTTTTTTGGCCACTAGGGTGGCTGGCCAGACCAAGGTCGGCGGCTAGCTGGCTCAGGGAGGTCAGGGGAAGTTTAATTGTGACAAGCTTAATGGATTGATGGTTGATTGCTTGGGTAAGTAGCTTTAGCCAAGTTAGGAGGATGGGTTCCCTATTTTGAGGGACACTTGGTCCATGGAACCAATCCAAGGTCTTAGGTGTTGTGAGTAGCATACTAGGAGGCTAACCAAGGAAAGAAAAGACTAAGCATGGCTTAATTTCAATGGCTTAGGTTAATTTGGATCTTAGGCTCAAAATTAGGGTTTGGGCTAAAAGTGGGATTTGGGATTTGGGCTTGGGTTGAGCTTGGATCTAAACCAATTGAAGGTTCAAATTGTTTTAGGAAAATGTCATGATGAATTTAGGAAACAAATTTTGGGAAATTGAATTGATTGCAAGGCTCAATTTAATGGAATTTTGGCTTAGGGTCACTTTAAGGCATTTGGTTTGGACTTATGATTTAGGCTTGAAATTGGGTTCAATTTGGCTTAAGTTTGAATCAAATTGAACTTAGACATGATGAATTTTGATGTAGGTTTGAAATTTGGGGAGTTTGAAATTAATGTGGTGGAAATTGGGGATCATTTGGGTGCTTCAAGCATTTAGGGGCATTTTGGGAATTTTGGTCAATTTTGGTGAATTTAGGTGCAATTGGAGTCGTTGGGTGGTTAGTATTGATTTGGGAGGGGCTTGGAATGATTTTTAAGATTTTGTAAATTTTGGGACATGGGGGTTAGTAATTTTGGAAAGTTAGGGGCATTTTGGGAATTTTGAAGAAATTGGGGTATTTTGAACAATTTGAATGGTTTAATATGATTTTTGGGCCGGAATTTGTAATTTGAGCAATTATGGGAAAATTATGGTTACAGGAGCATTTTGGTAATTTTTGAAAAATTTAGGGATAGAAGGCCAAATGTGGGTGTTTAGATGAAATTGGAGGTTATTGAAGATGCTAACCACAATATTACCCTTTTTGTGCCATGAGACCAAGGGGAAGCCCATTTTGGATACTCCATGTGCTGGTCCTAATCACCCTTGCCAAAGGTTAAGAGCTTGGGGACCACCCACATGAGTTTCCAAAAGAGTGGAGAAATAGGCTAAGTGGAGGTGATTTTAGGGTTTTGGGAATGTATGTGAGAGGTTCAAATGTTTGTGTGTGTGGGTCTGACCAAGACAAAAACCAGGCTACCAAGGGCTAACCATAAGGCCTGACAATCCTATGGGGACTCCTCTTGAGCTCCCTCATGCTGGTTCTATCCCACTAAATGGTAGAGGGGGCAAAACCATGCATATGAAACTCCAAGATAAGCAAAGAGATATTTATAATTTCTATTGTGTAGGGTTTCATCACTAGTCATCTAGGATAGTTAACAGAAAAGTCCTATGGCTAGATCATAGGCTTCTAAGGAAGAAAGACTAGGCATTAAAAGACTTTTTATTCGACTACTTGGGGTGAGTTATCATGGTGTATTCACTTTTATACATAATCATTTTTAAAGGTTGAGGGGTTGATTATCTTTTTCTGATTGACATAGAAAGAGGAGCTAGTGAAAAATGTTTAAATTAATATAAAACCATAAATAATGAAAAGTTTTAAATTTCATATATTCATACTCTTTCTATTGCATTTTTTAGGCATGAATGTGTATAGGATGCATGAAGATTTAGATAATTAAATACACCCCAAGTTAGAAATTCTAAGTCCAGGTGATATAAAGGGCTTAGATGGAAAAGTGCTCAAATTAACTCTTTATATTAGAACAATTACAAAAACAAGTCATCCACCTATACATGAGAATCTAATTAAATTTTTCAGAGCAAAAAAATGTAGAAACTATTGCATTACAGTGTTTTGTCAATCGTGTAAATCATTTTATTAATATCATAATTAGTGATTTGACTTATGATTAAGTGAGATAATTGGATGCAAAAATATCTCTTTAATCTTTTCAACTTTTGAGAGGAAAAAGATGTGATAATTGCACTTTGCTAGTCTTTCATATCATCCACCTATGTCTAGCTTTTACATAAATGACTTGAGATATGAAAAAGAAACTCATCATGTATGATTACCCTTTTGATCTTCTTTCATTCACCCTCTTTACAAATCTAAAGCTTCCATCTTTATTTGTTGTATCACCTTCAACTTCTTTTTCTAATAATATCATCATAATATTTTCTAACAAAGCATGTCTGACCAGAAGACTTCTTTCATAACCAACTTCATTGTGAATCCTCTACTACCTTTCATCATGATGCAATAGCAATTTGTTGAATTTATGGTGGAATATCCTCTTCTCTATGAGCTTCCAAACAAAAATTCCCCTAGGAAAGAGGAGACCACACCTATACCGAGTAATTAAAGGTTTTATAACCCTAATAATACTATACTCTCAAGACTCTAATATAATCTTCTTGCACGCATCAAATTTGCTAGAGAAAGCCATTGCAACACTATGTAGAGCATCTTAAGTAACATACTTTATTTAGGTTCTTAGATTGATAGAATAAACCAGAAAAATAACTAAGAAATTCTCTCTATCGGTTATGATATCTTCAACCCATATGTTCTTGCGACAACAAAAACACTTCCATATAAATAAATTTCCATCAACCTCCTATCTATTGTTACTTTAAGAATCAATATTTCTTATGATTTTTAGGTGTTTTACTATGTATACTTCATTTGATAAGAATATATAAAAAGAATATATATTCCAATCAGGTGAAATGCGCAGAAATTACAAAATTGTGCATTCTCATCTTTCACACTTTAGGGCCCTAATGTAACACAACTAATAATTTCTCAAAAGAATGAAAAAAGTCGAGCAAGTTGAAGCTCGCCAATGGATCTAGCTCTATAGCTCCATTAATCGCTAGCCTTCCTCATTAATAAGTCCAACATCCTTTAATATCACTTCCATTAAGAATAAAATACAATGGTAGACTCAAAGCTTTGAAGGGTTAACAAACAAAATCAAATCTATTCCCCTTATTAATATCTGATTCTATTCAAATGTTACATTTAAATATTTGCCTAATTCCCTTTCTCATCATTTCTAGTAATTTTTTACAAAAAAATATCCTACTATTTTTTAGTAAACATTTTGGAGAAAATATTTGCGTACGGCCCGCGCGCACAGAATTGCATGCATAATAACTTTTCAATAACCTCTGCTTCTGAATTATTAGAAGATTATTACGAGGTTATTAAGGTATTAATTTTAATAACATATAATCTTAATAATCTTCCAATAACCTTCGCAGGTTCTAATTCGATGTTATTCATAGGTTATTATGAGGGTATCACGGAGTTAACGGAGTATGCATGCAGAGCTACGTGCGTCTGTCCTCCGTATGCAAATATTTCTCATATTTTGGACACTGGAACAACTTCTGTGGAGTGATTCCTAATATTTCTGCTACTGCGCCATATACCATATTACATGACAATGAAAAGAAAAATATCTTGCATGTTTTTGTTTTAAAGTTTACCATCTTAGGATTCCTATTTCTCTTCTCCCTCTCAAAAATGTGAGCTGATTACAAGCAAAAAGGAACAAAGACCCGTATACACAGCCCAAAAGTGAGGACTACGCCTTTGAGAACAAAAAAGGGCTACCTGTACAGGCAGCAATCAGCACCACCATGGCAGACTTTACAGCATGGCAATTATCACTACTATACACCTCTCCTGTAGATTATGACAGTTTGAGCACTTCAAATAAAAAAAAAAAGACATTCTTTTTTTTTTTTTCTGAATAATACAAAGACGAACAGAGCCAATCCTTCCAAAATTCAAACAAAAATGATCAAAAAAACATTGTAGAATAAAAGCAAGGTTATCATGACAAATGATTTCATAGTACAATCATGATGCTCAAGTCTTACATGAAGAATAATTTTGGCAGATGTTCCAGTACACCCAAATCCATGCACTGAAGTTGGTCAAATACAACATTATAACTCATTTTGCAAAAATAAATATAAAAAACTCGCTCATACCACACCATACAGATTATATATCATCATAAGCCAAATACACTGTTAACCAAATCAAATCAACTGCCAGCACAAGCACAGAAATTCCAGCATATTAAAAAAAACCATAAATAATGTATAAGTTCGCAAGATAGATAAGAAACCAAAGAAACACATCAGTCCATATGCTAAGATAGTTGAAGAAATGTAGACATCTCTACTTTTCAACAAAGTGATGATTGTCTTCTCCTCCTTGAGTTCTTGCCTCCAATCTTCCTCCGCTTCAAGCTGTTTTATCTCATTCAAATGCTTACAAATGAAGGCAAGTTTAAGGAGTTTACATGGTTCGATCCAAAAAGACAGCTTAAACCTTCATTGGCGGTCTTCTCAACCTTGACATCATTTGCAGAGCCGCTGGACACCGAGCTGACAGTAGCAGACTGTATCACATTGTTAGTGGATGAAGCTAACTGAGGCGTCAGATCCCAGCCTTCATTAATCAGGCTAAGAAAGTTCTTGTTCTCATCCACCGGGGTGCTACTTGTGCTGGTCAGGACCTCCCCTAGAGGCCCACCCATGGAGGTTGCTCTCCACTTCATCACTGAGTTTCGTTCATTCTGAACACCCATAAGACCAAGCCCCATATGAAGCGGTGAAAGTCTCTCAGGAGCTGGTGAAGAAGTGGAAGATGAGAAATCTGATGAAGCAAGGTGGAATGGCATGGCGAGCTGGGTTCTCTCAGCTTGTGTTTCCTCCACAACAGGCCAAATGAGGTTAGAACTTTCGGGCCGACATGGGGGCCAGTTGTTGATAAAATGGTCTAGACCGTGTGGTTGCTGGCTCTGCTGGTCATGGAGATCTAGGGGTGTAACTAAGCTATTGTTAGCCAAAAATGAGCCCCTGAGATGGCTCTTGAAGGGACTACAAGAGTTTAGTTTTAGAGATGAAGTTTCACTTAGAGGGTCGTAATTTTTTGAGGTTGTAAACAGTGTGTTGTAAGGCTTAGCAGTTGAAGTTAGAATAGGGAGATCTCGAGCAGCGTCTTTATGGTCATTTGTAGTATTCCCACCAGCCGGCAACCTTTAGATGTTGGAAAAATATGAAGAAAGTTAACAAAACTGAACATGGGTGATTGTAGAGGATGCATCATTAAGGAGTAAAATAAAGCATATATAATACTTCTATTGGCAGCAATTGAGAAAAGGGCATTTACATACATAGCATACAATTCCTATATATTTACTTATCACACACATCGCATGCAAATCTTTAATATCACATCAAAAATAGCACTACTGCCACTTTTTAAAAGTGAAATACAAATTTTCATGCATAGGTTTAAAACACCAAAGAGCAATGTATGTAAATATGAAACTTTGTGGGATATGTGAATACATAAGAATTGTGTGCTACGTACATAAAAATATGAAGAGAGAATTCATTCATAATCCAGACCCCAAATAATTGATATAATGATGATTTTGCATCATTAGATGTAAACATATTTTTTTTTTTATGGCAAACAAGATATCTTGTGAAACAGAATGAAATTTTAGTTTACTCTAAAAATAAAATTGTCCAGTTCAGTAACTTATGGAATATTAATCATCAGCATATATTCCAATTTCAATTCCATTTTTGTTTGGTTCAAGGAATAATTTATAGGGAAAAAAAATTGCATCAGGATGTTTGGATACAAGTAGCGCCAGGATGGGAAGACCAAAAGCTCAATGTTAAATATTTCTAAATTTGAGTATTTGCCTTGTCCTCTTACTCTGTAATTTGTCTGCCTAACCTAACACAATTAATTTTTTTACATAAACATTTAATACCTCGATAAGCAATAAGCTTTCCAAGAATTAATTACACTTTTTATCAACAGCATTCATCGAAAAGCTTCATCAAAAGGCTGACTTTTCAAGTTTGAACCATGAACCTTACCGAAACTAAAAACATTAAGCGCCACCCCCTACTTATCTATCACGAAAAAGTACAATAATTAAAACTCAAAACCTCGTCTACAATTAAAGCTAAATCACCATAAGACTACAAATTTCTTAAAGATGAACCAGAACTCCATTTACTCACCAGAACTGAGACGAAGAAGCATTAGCAGTACCCTGTGAGATTCCTGAAGTAACAGGTGAAACCGAAGTTGGGTTGGTGACACCGGAAATGGCTCTCTTGGCATGGTCACCTTGGCCTTCCACAGGCTTTCTTGAACGGTGGCGGCCTCTATTTATGTGTCTCTCACAGTATTTCTGGTCAGGAACAGCATCTCTTGAGCAGCGCCATTTCTTGCCGTCAGTCCGGCGGCATCTACCAGGCTCTGGATCAGCATTCCCCACATAACCAGGATGGAAATATCCCCACCAGGCTGCAATAATCAAAAGAGAAGATCTTATGAAGTAACTGCCCACCAAGCATAGCACATGGGATGTCTCTATATGAAATAGTAGCTGTAAATATGAACCCACATTTAACCGCAACATATAATCTTCACTTGAGGCAATAATGAGGGATGAATCCGTAATATATGAATAAAATACATAAGCAAAAAGTATGCAGTAATTTATTTCATGCCAGAACATGCAAAGCTCCAAACAAAGTATTGTTAGGGAGAATGAATCAAAGGGAGACCTAAGTTTGATTTTATATGGTAGTGGTCAAACCAATTTTCATTCCAAACCTTTCTGTGAAAGTCAATCATTTGGTATTTTCACATAAATATATTTGTAGGCCAAAAGCAGAAAAGAAAAGATGAAACATTCTAATGTAAGGAAAAAAAAAATGAAAAAGAAAGTAGGAAGATCAGTGAGTGAACTCACCTGCATTAGGTCTAAGAGATCCAGATGAGCATGCAGAGAACCAAGCAGGATTGAGGCCTCTCATTAATGAGCTAAGCAGATTTGTTGGAATGGGAACATTTGCCCAAATGTAGTTATATAATAACATTTGTTGCTTCAGTTCCATTCGTTGGGAAAGAGTGAAGGCCCCCATTGGCCCTCTTAAAGCTCGCTGCATCTTCACATTGAGGTCTCCAGAGTTCAGGTCTGCATTAGGAGAGAAAGAAAAAAATAACAAAATACTCATAAGAAAGCTCAAAAAAAAAAAAAAAAAAAAAAAAAAAAAAAAAACACCATTCTTGTAGAAAAGCAATCTCGAAAAGCTGGAAATATTTCCATAGCATGCCTGAAACTTCAAATGCGTTCATCAGTAGAATAAGTTAAAAATGGATTCCTTGTCCTCACAAGAGAACTACAGTAGCAAACTGTTACTTCAAAATGCAGCTTTTCTTTTAAAAGAATCGTGTTGTTCTCTCATCTGCCTATCATTAATAGCTTCTTTGTCATTTACTAATGCTTTGGTTGGAATAATGCTCTATTTTGAAGGCGGGACAAGGGAAATAGGGAAAAGAGGAAAGAAAAGGTACCAACTTTCTTCTTGACAAGACTAAAACTAAAGATTAATGGAATGCTATGAAACGACTCCATCCAATCAAAACTTGGAATCAAATGGTTCAGCATCCTAAAAACAGGAACCCCCAAAACTTCATCTTGCACATCCTACTAGTCAAGGTTTGCCTTCAAAAACATGTAAAAGAAATGAATATAGTGAGTTTTACCTGCGTTCCAAAGTTGAGGGGAAGGAGCTGAAGATGATGGTAATGTAGCTAAAGGTGACGTCTTGTTGCAGCTGTAACCCAAAGATGATGACTTGGACGAAGAAAAGCTAAGCATTTGCTCTCCATTTGAGGCTGAAGAGAAGGAAATGGATCTGGCAATCTTTGGGGATCTCTGATCATCTTCTTCAGCTCTACAAGACTTCCCCTGCTTGTGAAAATGAGAGCTAAGGAGGCCCCCTTTACGGATTGATTCTAGGTCCGAGGAGGCTAGAGGAGGCGAGAAGCTACAAGGAGATGAGCCCACCAACACTTTCATACCCAAAAACCCACGAGAATCCATTTATCTGTCCTCCAAGAACTAGAAGATGTCCAAGGAAGGAAAAAATGTGTAGAAGGAGCTTTCATCATGAGGAGCACTGAAGTGCAGTGCAAGCATTTTGTGTTCTAATCCATGGAAAGATGGATTAAAGGGAGAGGGAATGCCTGAGGTTTTGGTATGGTTTTGCGCTTTGGGAGATGGGAAGAAGCTAGTTTTTTCGTGTGTGGGGTAGTAAGTAGTTTGATAGAGAAATAATTGTAAACGTGGTGGGGGGTGAGGTGGGGGGTCTGGGGGGGACAAATATTAGGTGAGGATAATTGCATTTGTTTTATAAATAGATATATAACATTTTAAATGCATAATTATTTTATAAAAAATTCAATTATATATATATATATATATATATATATATATAAATGAATTTTTTATAAAATAATTATGCATTTAAAATGTTATAAATTTAGTCATAATGGCTCAATAGTAACACTAAACATCAACTCTTACCAAGGTTGCACTTTGACATACATTTGACCTAATTTTTAACTTTAATCAAATAAAAAAATTAATATCCTAATTTGAAGTTTTTCCATTTTTTTCACATACACTTATTTATTTCGCTTGGCTTTGTAAAAAAATTTTGGATGACACATTTTCTAAGTTTGCTTGTAAGTCTCTTTTATCATCATGAAAACCTTGTGAATGAAAACACATATATTGACTTTATATAAGTAGCAATTAATCAATACATTTTTTTAATAGAAACGTGCTTATGTTTTAAGTGGAAATATATTACCTCTATTCTATTTTACATGAGAAAAATTTAACCATGAAAAATAAATGATAAATAAAATGATAATTTTCTTCAAAGATAATATGAAGTGTTTAGCATATTTATAAATAATTGAGCATTTAATTAATTAAGAGAATTGATATGATATTTTTTAGTCATTGAAGTGTTTGTTCTATATTTATACAAAGCATTCCTTTGATAGAATATCTAAAAAATTTAAGATGTGGATTCAGAATGAAAGAGAATCAGTATATTATGGCCATTTAGAGTGATTATGGAGGAGAGTTTGTGATCATGACAATTTTCAGATATATTATAATGAAATTGGCATTAGATTTAGTTTATCTACCCTTAGAATATTACAACTAAATGTTAAAAAAGAAGCATAGGAGCTTATTAGCCATGACCAGAATAATTCTAAGTGGATTTCACCTAATTAAGTATCTTAGTGTTGAAGCAATACATTTGACATATTATGTAATTAATAGAATAAATATTAAATAAGTCATTAAGAAAACACCCTATAAAATGTTGAAAGGGAAAAAGCCTATTGTATCACATTTTTCCTATATTTGAATGTAAGTATTTTATATTAAAAAATAATCAACAAAATTTTATATTACATTAGGCGAATAAATATTTTTAATTGGTAAAACTATAACAAGGCCTAAAATTTTTCTATAAGAAGAGTTTGATGGTAGAAAATTTTATACATATAACTTTTGGTGATCATAATCAAATGTTATCCATGATGAAAGACAAGGATGTTGAAAGATTTGATGCATTGGAAAACGTAAGTCAAGGTCAGCTAGTGGCTACTTAGGAGGACTCATTAGCACCAAAGAATTTTATGGAGTAGAAGTATCCCATTTCACCTTCAAGAATATATTATAGAAAATCCTTCATATGATGTTAGTACTAAGAGTGTAATTAGAGAAGAGGTTGATCAACATTTTTGTCTCATATTAAACAAACTTGAACAAATGGAAATTTCACAAATGCATTTTGAGTAATAATAGTGAAAAAAAAGAGTTAAATTAGCTGATTAAGTATGTGCTTGAGAGTTAGTGCCTGAACGTAGTAATCAATATGAGGTAGCATACATGTATAGTCATATTGAAAAAATAAAATTTAAATATGATTGTGCTTATATAGTTAGATTAAAACTTTTTAGAATATTACTGTCATTTCTATATATTAAGAAATTTAAACTATATTAGATGAATGTAAGAAAATGTATTTTTAATAGTATTATAAAGGAAGATGTTTAAGTACAACAACTATTAACATTTGTAAATCATATGTATTTAGATCACATAAATGTTAAAAAATGGCACTTTATAATTAAAACAAGCTCTAAGAGATTCATATGAGAGTTTGAGTATATTTTTAACTAGTCTACAATTAATTAAAGATAAGCTAGATACAACAATTATTCATTAAGAGAATTGGAGAAGATGTGCTTGTGACTCAAATATATATAATGATATTTTTTTGGAGTCACCAAAGATTCATAGTGTTCTGAGTTTAAAATCATTATATAAAGAGTTTAAGAAAAGCTTAATAAAAAATACCACCTACTTCTTGGATTTATAAGTAGAACAAAAGAGTATTATAATATTTTCATCTCTAATTTAAGTATATTTATGATTTTTATTAACAAAAATAGTCTACAAAAATTAATTTCATTATTTCTCTATGAGTATAGTGACAAAGTCAGATAAAAATATAAGGTTAAATGCAATAGACTTCATGCTTTATAGAGAAAGATAGGATCTGCACTATATTTGATAGCCATCATACATATATTATGTTTGCTATTGAACTTTATACTAAATTTTAGGCTAATTCTAATGAATCATATCTAACTGCTATAAAAAGAATTTTTATAAATTTTATAAGAACTTTAAACATAGGATTATAGAATAAGTTATTATTTAAGTTATAGTATATTCTTATATAGATTATACAAGCTACAAGATCTACTGAAGGAGCGCCTCAGATAAATGTTAATTTTTAGGACTTTCACTTATACTCCATTTCCATAGTGCAACAACTCCTTTCATCTAATAACCACTGGTGCATCATGGTAGCCTCAATTTGCATTAGTTGTGTTAAGAATGTCAAGGTGATAATTCCTGATATTAACAATTATGGGCCATATAGTTTTATTTAAGGTCATATTAAATTATAGAGGTGATTTCAACAACTTACTAATTATCTAAAGCTTCTTTTATGTAGGATAAATTCCATAAGAAGCTTTTAAGGAATCATATATATCTCAAGAGGGCCCATCATCATGTGAACCTTATGTAGACATTAATGTAGATGAAATTCTTCTTATCTAAATGAATATAAAGAGATTTCTAATTTAGAATCCTTAGAGGTTACTTATTAATGGACAAATTTTTCATTTAAAATCCTTAGTGGGGTCTCTATAATAATAGTGTATACTTATCTAAGGAATCAAATAAAACACGCCAACATGGAAGCCCTTGATGGTACTTAATGATGAATAGGATTCTTACAAAAAAGGCCCCATTAGGGCTCTATAACATATGGACCCCATTAAGATAAATAGCATATAATGCATTCACTTATTATAAAAACTTCATAAGCATACCAAATTTGAAAACTCCAAACAGCTACTTAATCTTAAATAGAGCCCTTACAAAAAGTTCTCATAAAGGCTTATAAAGATCTCAAGAAGCTAAATGGTACATATAAAGTATTCTCTTATCTAAATGACCTTGAAGGGTGCATTATTTTAAAAGCTTTAGAACCTAAAGAAGCAACATTCATTGTGCTTCGAAAAATCCATGAAATCAACTATTAAAACAATTATCCACTACATCAAGATGCCTATGAAATTATCCTTTAATGTAAATTCGTGTTCGTCGTTTATGAATTATATTACAATCCTAACTTAAATTAGTTGCATAATAAGTTTGGATTAGGTTCTCGATTGAATTTGGTGGATAAGATTTGAATCTTGGTTGATAGATTGCACGGATCATAGAGCTTTCCATGGATGCATGTGGTTTAAGGCTAGTGGTAGGAGACGAACTCACAATTGTCAATTACAGTTTAGTTAAATGGATGATCATGACAGAACTACAAAGAAAACCATTCATCTATTAAAAATCTAAGCTATCCCATCTTGGATCGGACGCCTAAGGTTAATCCTTATTGGAGATTCCTCACCTCCTATCAATATAAGAACTAGACCAACTGTCCTTCATTTCATGAGTTCCAACTTTTTCATCAAATTTTGTTCAATACTTTCTAGCATTTATCAACCAAAAATATTTGAAGCCCCTTTTTTCAGTTACGTAGTATAACCAAGTTCCTCACACTACATCACATGACTCTCAAAGTTCACTATTCAATAGTTATCATTAGATGATTGTAGCGATACATCAAAACTCCAAGTTTTACTATAAGAGGAGCCTTCTTTCACTCATATTTATTAAACTATTTTAATATCTTCTTTAGTTAACGCGCAATTTGGTTGAGAGAATTTATATTGTATTATAATTCTTTTGCAGGGATTTGAGAAATTTATGTATTTGGTATGAAGAATTATAAATACAATGTAAAGAATGAATGAATTAGAAGTTTACACCGTAGTTCATTTTGTATGAAGTTAAAATTCGGTCAAATTTGAATCACATTGTTTATGTATAATGTTATAGGCAAGGAGACACACCACCATCAGCCACCATTGGTCGTACTCCGCAACCGGCCTTATGTCGCAACCGATGGTTCACTGCTATTATCAACAGCCCACTATCCGCCTGTCACAATTTGTCGTTGTCGCCCGGCCGCCGCTAGCCCCCGCTGCCACCTCAGTCATCGGTTGTCCGCAGTGCAACCCACCAGCTCACCATTGTTGGTCGTCTAACGACCCCTCTCCAACGCCGGACAAAAAATATATTTTAAAATACATTATTTTCAATCTACTTCGAATCAAACAAAAAAATAATAATAATAAAATTCAATATTTGTTTTGCAGTGAACCCAACAACTTAAAAGTATTTTAAATACATTATAATCAGATACTAGGCAAACATTTTACATTTCATTTCATTTTTAGCAATCCTATCTACCGCCAAATAAAATGTTTATACATCGCCCTCTATTTAGCCGTACGTGAGTAAAATTTTAGTGCAATGTTCTCAATATAAATGTTTTATTCATCGTCATGAATCTTACAACATTCAATAAATATGATAAAGTAATATGTTCTAATATCTCTAAGATTTTTTTTTAAATAAGAAAAGTCAATTTCCTTTATTATTATATATTTCTGTGGAATAAAAGTAGTTGGGAGTATAAGGATATTAGCTACATCTTCATTTAACGGTATAGACAAAAGTAAACTCCTGCCCCGAAGACTTGCCTTTCCATTTATAGTTACGCAGACCATTTACGACAGTTCGCATTCGGAAGTTATTATTTTGCTA